AGAGCTAAATCTTTTATCTTAAAAAAATGGAAAAATATACTTTCATACATTTCACCCCAATACTTTATCTAACACTAGCTAGACAGAACATCCTCAACAGGACAGGCTGCAGTGTGAACGTGAAACAACCTAAAGTTGTTAACCCATGCTGTTAACAGCTCCTCCTTTAAGGTATCGTGTTCATTCTGTTTCTGTTTTGTTTTGAGCAACAACATTTTATTTCCCTTTTAGCAAAACCTGTGAAGACACCACTGCTGCAATTCCAGGATCTAAATATACACCCGTGGGCTAACCCACAGCCTCTGAGGACGGGATGTCACAGGACACGTGACGGCAGCCTCACTTACTCGTCGAGGAGATGGTCGGTCGAACGATCCCGGATCGATCGCGGAGAAGCTGCTCACAGCCGACGCAGGCTCGCCAGCACGAACCCTCTCCCAGCGGTGTTATCTCCCGTGTCACAGATTTTCTTGTGCGACCCAGCCCTGGGGCGCTGGAACGAGGCCAGGCCCTGAGCTGTGGACCTGAACCCTTGCGCCTTTTGCAAACACCAGATACAAAACAAAACGTCCCAGTTACCGATTAGCATTGGCATAAACATATCTTTAACAAACACATGTGTATACAGCATCCGCAGGTGCTTACAGTACACACGAGCATGACCGCTTGGGATCTGCCCCTGGCTTCTGACACAGAGCGCACTCAAAGTGTGACGAGACGACCCACACGTCCTCGATTCATGCACGACGGGTTCGCGTGGGCCCAATGCCTGCTCCGGGGGTGTTTAAAAAGGCACTTGCGAGCCCAGCGCGCACTGAGAGGCAGCAACCACACAGAGCCATGCTCCAGACGCCCAGGTTAAATTTAAAATGAAGGAACGTGCAAAAAGATTCTGTCAGCTCCGCTGCTGAATCGCCAACTGGCATTCAAGAAACGCAACTGCGTGCTGAGTACATGGAGCGTGCGCATTCCATCTCATAATCCCCTGGCATAAACGAGTTGCATCACTAAGCCACAACTAATGAGTGCAGAGGAGAAAG